CTGCCTGGTCAGCAATATAATCACACACTTTGCATCTCTGGTTCCTAGGTTTTGATCCTTCAGGCGATTCAGACCTCAATTTCTAGAAGCCGCAGCCAATGCAATGGCCTGACTTCAAACTGATGTCCAAAAAAGTCTAAAAATCCCAAGGTTGAGAAACACTGCTCTACATCGTTATGTCTATAATTTTCTAAACCCAGTGCTGGAGCAATGTAACTCCATGCTATGGATTTTGATACACAAGATCTGTGTATCAGCTCATTTCTATGCAGTGCTATGGCTAAGGGCAATGAGGGAAATGATTGGGAAGGGGAGGAGGAGAAAGTTTTCATTGGCTCCAAAGGGAATGTCTGCTTTTATAGCATTGTGCTTTGAAATCAAGGGAGTTTAGGCATGGTCCTAGCCCAGGTAATGAGCACAATGCCTCAATCAAAACCAAAATAAAACCATGACAACATTAACTGAGGATTGTAAAAAAAAAGAATTAAAGGTTCTTCAATGATAAAACCATATTCTTCAGTTTGAGAGAATTCATCCTATAGTCTTTGCAGCCCAAAGTGTACAGATTTTTCATCACACAGCTTCTCGACTTCAACTTTTTATTATTATTACAAACGTATATTATTTTTATTAAAAAATTCACACTGAAGCAATTCAATTTAATTACAACAAAAATAAAAAATAGATGCAATGAACAGAAGCATTGTTTTTAACAGTCTTTCAAGAGCAACGTAAGGACAGAAAAACAAACGAACAGTAAAATGCTTTATGAGGGCAAAGCCTGTCTGGTTCAGCTTAATATAGTTATCCAGCACAGTGAGTAGGACTTTTTTAGCCAGCCATTGAGCCCTCCTGTTCCCTTCAAGGGGCCAGGAGGAAAGTGAATCTGGGTGACTGCAAGAACTGGACTTCCCAATAAGATATGTTCACCCACCTGGTATTTGTACTATTTAAACTGATTCAAGGTTGGACAGTTACAATATTGCTCATTAATTGCTAGATTCTTCCTCTTTCACTTCACCAAGATAGTCAATTAAGATCAATGCATGATAATTATGAAGAGGAATGACTGAATCCCCAACGTTGAGCAGTGGGTCTCAACTTGTAGCTCTCCAGATGTTTCGGCCTTCAACTTCCAGAAATCCTAACAGCTGGTAAATTGGCTGGGATTTCTGGGAGTTGTAGGCCAAAACACCTGGGGTTCCACAGGTTGAGAACCACTGGTTTAGAGAGAGGTACAGACTACTGCATCTATGTGTGTTTGTGTCTTTAGTGGTGCTGGAGCCTTTTTAAAGTAATTCACCACCCCACATACATAGTAATGTTCTCACTTAAAATATCCCATATCTACCAAGTGAGAACACAATGTGGATTTGAAAGTGTTTTATCTGCAAGCCTGGACAGGCACCACCAACACATGGGCCCTCATTAGTGTACTGAAGAGGCATAAAAGTGGACAGAAACTTAACTATATAATGATAAGACTACAAAGATAAAAGATAAATACGTGAAATTATATATAAAAGAAAACTAAAGAAAGGAAACTTTCCTCCAAATAGTTAAAATGAAGAAATTACAACAATTTGATAAGTATACTACCTGACAGATATAAAACATTATTTAAACTGTTGTTAAAAAGGGACATCTTCAGTCCACATTGTGTAATACTTTTTAGTGTCTACACAAGACAGATTTTTTTAATAAAAATTAAATAGTATTAATTTACTAGTAAATATTTTTGAGATAACAGTGCATTAAGGACTTTCCCCCCATAAAGCAATACACATTGTTCTTGTGTGGCAAAATGTATAGATTACACATGGCCTTATGTACAATATGCAATTTTTAAAAAATCTTAAAACAGTTATCTTTGTTTAATGTTGCTTAAGTACCATCACTGAAGATTATGAAGGGAACTAAGCTATTATGTTGGTATAAAATATTATACATAACCAAATATTTCAAGCTTCCTCCTCCCCAACCAACCTCAGGATGGCCTCCCGCCCCACTCCCTCCCCAAAAGATACAGTGTCACAGATAACAGTGCAGGATGCGCAGCTTTCACTAAACTCTTCCTTCATTATGCAGCCTGTGCTAGAGTTCATGTCGTAATTCTTTGCTAATGCTATTTCCTTGCTCCTTTTATTTGAAAACCTGGTGAGAAATAGCGCAGAATATTTGAAGCTGCTCCATCTTCCAAAGTAGCCAAAATTGTGATCGAAAATCCAACATGATAGAAAAAAAGAACCTATAGGTGATGTCCAAGCTGCACATTCTAGTAAGAATCAGTTAACTGAGCCACATAGTTATGAACATCTCTGTGTCCTGTGTTTTCATAAGATACAATATATGATTCATCTTTACATTACATTTTGATTCATGAAATTTCCCCTGAAACAAAGCTACCTCACCTTGGCTCTCTTTAGCCCTGCAATAAATGAGACACTCATCTTATTATACACAAAGAGTTTCACAATAATAGGCCAAGTATGCCCAGAAGCCAAGATACAAATAGAGAATGAGTGCAGTAAACATTTCAAAAAGTGTAAACCTAAACTTTCATCTATCTCCCCTGTCAATGCTTTTTGGGTAGGCCATGAAGCATTCGGCATAGCTACATTTGTATCTGCAGACACTGCAGGGAAACTGAATATAGCAAGCAATTATTTTCCAGCAAATATGCAAATATCACCTTGCCCGTATAGGCAATAATCATGGCCGTCGTTCTAGGGGATTGGAAGCTCATGGAGATAAAGCACATTCAACACACATTGTCACACTGCATGCACAGAGGAACTTACACTTGGACTGAAGTTGTCACAGGTGCACTAGAAGATTACAACCAATAGTAGATTGAGAGACAGAGCAATCGAGGGAGAAGAGGAAAATGAGCTGGTTAGAATAATGTTCAGTAACGTTCTACGTTGCTGACCAGATATTAGCTCAAATACAGAAAATGAAAATGTGGAGCACAGAGCCCAAGCAGAAAAGAAACATTAGCCCCATCCAACAAAACCAACTCAGACACATGATATACAAAACATTTCAGAGAGTGAAGTTGGGGAGTGGGAACTGTTTCAATGCAATACCTTTTATCTTCTCCACCTATGCTGTACTCACTCATTTAACTTTTGGCTCTCAAAAAAGCAACTGCAAATGGAACGATGCCTGTTACAACACTTTGGATTGTTTTAAGAAGTTAACAGAACATTTACCTGGTATTATTAGTACTTTTCACTACTCTAAAGTAAAGTTTGCCCTCTAAGCACACTGATCTACCACTCTGTCGGTTTCTGTTGTAATCTTAGTGCAAAATGTTGGGTGACAGCTTTCTGTGTATCTGGGATCAATTCAAAACAGAACACAATGAGGCATGAGCTCATGATACATACATACATACATACATACATACATACATACATACATACATACATACATACATACATATATATAGTGTAAATGCCCACTAATGCATATATAAATAGCTGGCTCCTTCTTCTATATATTTTTAAAGCACGTGTTTTTTTTTAAAATACTGGGTACTGCATATATATTCTAAAGTATATGCCTTTTCAATTTTAGTGCAACAAGGTTAGGGCTGGGTGTGCTCAAAAAATCAGCACCATGGTCACCCAAATTCCACACAAAGAAAAGCTGGATTTGCAATCTGTATAAATAATGCAAATTATCATAGATGGTAGATAACTCATTACGCTTTTACTAGTTAAAGGGAAGGGATACAAGTACTCAGTACTAAAGCCCTGTCCCCAGAAATCCCACTCTATTCCTTTCTCCCAGATTCTAAGATTTCGCTAAGTAAGTTTAAAAGCCTATCTTCCTAAGGCAAGAAATCTGTTTTAAAACAAAACAGAGGAGCTTAGATTTACAAGATGTTGAATTATACACAACCTTGAGAATATATAGTGCCCTGAATGAAGTATATCAGCTATATTTCTAGGGCTCTTTCAAAAAATGAGCTGCTTCCAAGTATTGTTGTTTCTAATCACATGTACATTGTTCATGAGCTCTAGCATTTCCTCTGCAAGGTGGTGGTCCAGCAAGCCTTAAATCCAGTTGTTAGTCCCTATTTAGGTACACCCATGGAATTTGCACAAGCACTAACTTACCGTTCAGCAATTGATACAGTGAAATTCACTATTAGATTTAGGCCTAGTACAATTGTTCTGTGTGTGCATGTGTGTGTAACCTTCAGAAAAGAGACATTTCAGTACAGCATGGCTTACCTAGTGTAATCAATCTGGATTAATCAAAGCAGTGGTAAGACAACATAATATGCATTTTAAACATGAAAAGATTAAATATCTTCCAGACATTGTTCAGCAACTTCTTTTTCAATATTTGATCTGATTTGCCTGGATCATGAAAATTTAATAATAACAATAATAATAAAATAAAATAATACTATTAATATAATAATTATTATAATAACTATAATGGCTTGTCAAGGTTCATGATTGCAAGTGTTCTGCAAGTAGGTAGACGCTCATGCGACAAAACTGTTAGACTCTTAACAGTTAAGGTGCCACAAAACTTTTGACTCCTCTTATTTGCTGCAAGTTTCAGAACCAAAATTGAACAAAGGGTTGTGTGGGAAGCAAACAAAACTAATATAAAAGCATACTAGAAATCTACTAAAGAGAGTACACCTGGTCCCTCCCCACAATTTCCAAAGGCAGTAGCAGTCTCCTTTGCCCTTCCTCCCAATGATGCTGAACTCCTAGAGTAGAGTTCCAAAACACAGATTATCACTCACAAAGACGCATTGCATGTACAGATAACCACTGGAGAATACACTACAAAAACTCTTGTTCTATTAGAGCCACAGAAAAATTTGCCTTCCACTTTGCTGTCTTGCCTTAATTTAAAGCAAAGCTTAAATCAGCCGACTTGGAAGATGATGACAAATGATCTATGGTATTCTCTCCTTTGAATGAAAAACAAACATTCATAATCTTCTGTTTGGTATTCAGTCCAACACGGAATAACTGCTGCAGAGACTTGGGTTGTATATTTTTCTTTTCTTTTCTTCTTCTTTTTTTTTAAAGACCTCATCTGAAAACTAGACTAATAAAAAGAGAATAATAAAATACTCTGGAACAGTAAAATCTGCTGTTCTTGACATCTGTGAGCAAAACAGTAATATCCTGTGAAAATAACATAGTGCTTTTAAAAGGTGCATTATACCTGTATAGCTAAACGGATTTGCCTAGTAAAAAATTAATTATATACAAGCTTGAAAAGCCTGGGAGTTCAAAATTCCAAAACTTTAAAATCCTGGTAAAGGGATTTGGAAAAAGAGGAGATTTATGGCAATTTCTACAACACAAGGAAGGTGCACCAGGAATCCTTCAAAAATTCCATAGGTAAAGAAGTTTAAGTGCTGGGTTCAGATCAGACGGTTTCATTCTAGTAACCACAATGGAATGCATGCAAAAGCAAGCGCATGGGAAACTTCACAAGAATCTTCTTTATGGCAAAAAAGCAAGGGAGGAGATTGTCTCTTGTCTGAAAACAATGACTAAATCAAAGTTTTGCTTCAATAATTGTAATTTCAAGATCCTCATCACAGTTTGCATTTTTGGTTCTTCTCATGGTTATGAACTTCATATTGCTGGAGTCCGTTGACTGTTCCTTTCTAAGACCGTCTACAAAGTTTCTTCAGTACCGGTGAGATTGATGGGACTGATGGTACTGAGAGCTCTGCTGAGATGATGTAGAATAACCCATGGTACTCTGGGACTGAGAAGATCCCTGAATGTTGCTTTGGTAACTCAGGCGTGAACTGGAGTGCTAATAAAAAAAAAAAGAACCACCACACAATCAACATTTTAATATGGTAGGAATTACTTTGAAAAATCTTTTAAAACATCAATGTTGCAAGGTCTCCCTCCTTACATTCTGAAAAATGTACTCTTACTAGGAAAACAAGGTACTAGCAGTGAAATACTGGGAAGAAAGGTCATTACACAGTCACAAAACAGAATTGAATTAAGGGACACTTGATCAGAACCGTACTCTTAACCGCTTTGAGTCCCCCTCGGGGTGAGAAAAGCGATATACAAATACTGTAAATAAAATAAAATAAAATACTCATGCAAAATATTAATAATTTTGTGGTTCCAATTTTATACTTTAATTTTCTGTCATTATACTTCCTGTCAATAAATACATTTTAAAAATTCAATCATTCATTTTATTACAGAATCTTAGGAAGGAATATAGATTCAAAATAAACAGCAGTAGGGGCATCAAAATTTGAAGCTGGATTTGACAACAAATATTAGCTCTAAACAAAAAATACATCCACATTGATATTTCACAGTAATGAAATTTCAGATCCATTCTGGGAATTGTAGGTCAAAACCTGCAGACCTACAGGTTGAGAATCACTGATCTAGACACTATGCTCCTTTTGATGCAGCCCAAAATTCTATTGGCTTTTTCAGCTTCTGCATCACATGGTTGGCTCATGTTCAACTTGTTGTCCACAAAGACTCCAAGATCTTTTTCACATGTACTGTTGTCGAGCCAGGCATCACCCATTCTGTATCTTTGCATTTTCACTTTTTCTGCCTAGGTCTTACATTTGTCCTTTTGTTGGATCCAATTTAAAGTTACTTGCTTAACTGTAAAATATGGTCAACTTGAGTTCAAATTGAGAAAAGCTTGTATTTTTAATAGGATTTAACATAAAACCTATTAAATAATAATAGAACAATTATCTTTGTCATCTTATATTGATGGACATCAAATAATATATAACATCCCTGAGAAATAAATAGATTTGGATATGGTTTAAATATTTGGGGAACTGAGGACTCTAAGGGATAAATGGTATACAATCATGATTTAGTGTTATCCATGTATCTTCCATGTATCACAAAAATACTGCAACACTGAGATTGGTAGGAACATTATAAAAACACAATTTTCAATGGCTCTATAAAAACAAAAACATAGTGAGCTCGCACTGATATGGCAGAGCATAACTTTAACAAAATTCAGTAAGATGAGATACTATAGTAACATTACAATAAATATAATACATTTCCCTCCATATTGAATTTATCTTCTAATTTGTCAAAGGCAAAGCTGCATTCGAAACATGTTATCATCCTGAGCTTGAAGGAAGCAAATAAGTATTTTAACCCCCCCCCCCAATTTACTTAGCATAAACATTATAAATATTAGCTATGACAACACAAATACAAGTTTTTATACAAGTTTTATACAGCTTTCAAATGAAATATTGTTATGCACCATGTACTTTTGTGCTATTAAAATTACTGCTGAGGTTCTAGGAGGATTGGTACCTATAATATACATTAGAACAAACTTCCAGTTTAATCTTAATTGACATGATTTTGAAAAGGAGAATAAATATTTGTGTTGGGTACTAAAGCATTATTTCAGGCAGTATTGCCCATGTTGTGTAGTGGTTTGGGCACTGGATTGTGACTCTGGAGACTAGACTTTGAATCTCTACTCAGCCATGGATACCCCCCCCCCCCCCCCCCGCCCCCGCCCCCAACCCCGGGGACCTGGGGCTAGTCACTTTCTCAGACTAAGAAGAAGGCAAAGACAAATCTTGCCAAGAAAACCCCGTGATATATGTTTGTCTTAGTGTTGCCATAGGTCGGAAATCATTGAAGGCACACAAGAACAACATTGTAAGCAAACAGAGTTTTAATGCCTTCCAGCCTGATTCCAAGGCTTGCTGTGCTTAGCAAGTTCAAAGACTTCAAAAGGTATTGCGTTCTTTTAATGAAAAGACTATTATCTGTGCTAGATAATATATCCTACCAGTTTTATAAAATGAAGCCATCATATGATTGCTGCTGCAATTAGTAGGACCAAATAAAGTCATGTGGATCTGCTTTTTCCAGAAATGATTCACATAACCCTATGTGAACATGCCACACACTGGGTCATATGAGAAGTTTATGACATGTATCCAAATTTTTGAACTGAATCAAATCTTGCACACAGCTTTGCAGTTTGATTTGTAGGTTGCTACTTCTTTTATACCCTGACAGATACATACTGAAATTTGCCAAGCATGCAATAAGCTTTACCTCTTTTAATGTGTGTATGTTCATATTAAATGAAATAAGCATTGGAGGTTTTTTTTGTAATGACACAAAAAGTTCCAGTTTCATCTCTGTACATGTTTGATAAGCAATTTCTGCTATTAACAGCTTCATGTATCAACATCCTACAAAATATGCCCTCTCTAGTCATTTGCTAAGCTGTCTAGTATGACTCTATGACATTCTTGACCAGAAATCCTGCATTTTAATAGGGCTGACTAGTATCAGTGGTTTTGCTGTGAATCAATGTGAAGTCTGAGAATATGGATATGGGGTTTAGAAGTATACAGAAAGAAACATATGGCTGACCACTTTGCCTTTGGAATTACAAGCATTTATAAAAATTAAAAATTAAACTACCATCAGCCTATATCAGTGTTGCTGTATTTACCAAATGCAAACTAATACATTTGGAAAGAATATTATATCATAATGAAGTGGCCTATATCCACCTGTTAGTCCTGACTAGATCCAGTGATTCAATGACTACTGCAACGCGCTCTATGTGGGGTTGCCTTTGAAGACTGTCTGGAAGCTTCAAATGGTTCAATGGACGGCAGCCAGGTTGCTAACAGGAGCGGCACTCAGGAAGCACACAACTCCCCTGCTGCGCCAACTCCACTGGCTGCCAATCTGCTACCGGGCACAATTCAAAGTGCTGGCTTTGGCCTATAAAGCCCTAAACAGTTCTGGCCCAACTTACCTGTCCAAACGCATCTCCCCTTATGAACCATCTAGAATCTTAAGATACTCTGGGGAAGTCCTGCTCTTGGTCCCGCCTTCGTCACAAGTGCGTCTGGCGGGGATGAGATTCAGGGCCTTCTCAGCAGTGGCCCCTCAGTTATGGAACACCCTCCCTAGGGATATCACATCAGCCCCCTCCCTTTTAACATTTTGAAAAAAAGTCAATACATGGCTTTTTGAGACAGCATTTGCAAATGCAGAGTAACTAACATAGGAATATGGAATGACTAGACAATGGAACCGGACAATGTTTTTAACAAGGAGACACTAATGACTTATGCTTTTATTGATGATGTTATGGTTTTTATTGTATGTTAATGTTTTTAATTGTATTTATGGTATTGTAGGCATTGAATTTTACCCTGTAAACCACCTTGAGTTGAGTGTGGGCTGAGAAAGGCGGTATACAAATACAGTAAGTAAGTAAGTAAGTAAATACTTGGAACAGTTATGTAGGTTCCATTGAGTCAGCAGGTCTACTTTAGGTGGGACTTACAATTAATTTTACACCGGTAAGGGAACATTTAGCTGACATTCCCTTGACCCCTTGGAAAGAAGCAAAATAATATTGGTATAAAAAGAACAATTACCATACCTGATAATCTGAAGGCATGACAGGCCCACCTGAATTTGCGCCTGAAGGCCCAATGCGTGGCTTCTTATTTGGAGGTACCTGGTTGAGGCTGGAGTCCTGGCTATGCTGGAGACCTGCCCCAGTGCCACCGCCTCCTGCTCCACCACCCCCTGCAGTTCCATTTGTCTGGGTACTATTTTGTTGCTGCTGTTGCTGCTGCTGCTGAGGTGCTGCTTGCTGCTGAGGTGCTGTTTGTTGCTGATGTTGGTTCTGCTGCTGTTGATTCTAAACGATTGAAAGAGGGAGTTTGGATACCCAGAGTTTGGAAACCCATTTCTACAGTTGTTTCTTTGAACAATCCTTAGAAATATATTCAAGATTATATTCACTATTAAATACTGTTTAGAGAGTCAATGTGGCATGTTTGTTAGACGAGTCAGACTATGACTAGGAAGGCCAGCTTCAAATCCCTATTCACTCATGGAGCTCCTTGGGTGAGCTTGGGCCAGATAATCAACCTGCACTAGGGTGCTTAGAATTAGGAAGAACTTGAAGGAAATGTTGGATAGCAACAGAAATATTTGTCAAGTGTCTCCCTCTTCAGAAGTTGGTGGGTGGAGATGTAACCCATAGATTGCTCCTCTGCACACACCAGAGAACGAAACTGGCAGTTTCAATGAAGAGCAGCAGTAAACATAGAATTCAAAAATAGTCACTGAATTCCAAAGCAGCTTTATGACTATTCATGCAAGAAGGCTTCTCAATTTCAACAGAAGGCCATATGTTACGGTACTTTGTGTATGTGCTTCATTTGGGCTACATGCAGTATAATACAAGAGGTTTTCTGGAGACTATATAGCCAAAGATCTAAAAATTTGGAGCTTCTGTTGAAGGTTTCACCAAAATGCACACATAGAGAGAAAGAGAGAGAGAGAGAGAGAGAGAGAGAGAGAGAAAATCAAGAAAATCAAAGGATAAGATTCCAGAGTTCAGGCTGTTTTGAAATATTGAGTGATATTTCAGGATAAGTTTACATAGGTTGACTTGCATTCTAGTTTTGAAGGGTCATGACATTTTACAGATAGAATGATCTGTGGTCAGAGGGTATTTGCTCAGGGAATCTGAACTTTAATCTAAATTGCATTCCAGTTCAGAGAAATGTTCTTTTAATACATCAAAACAAAACAAAACAAAACAAAAATTCACCCTGTCTTCTGCTGATATCTATAACATTTACACAGGTTTTTTTTCTCCAACGAGCAGATGTCTGAGACTAGGTCTGATATCTTTTGTGTATGAAACATGTGGTCTGTCCTTGATATACAGTACTCTCTGTATATATAAGTTAGTCTCTAGGTTGCACTGGAAATTCTAGAGTTTTAAAATAACTGGTATGCCGAGTTTTTAAATAAGAAATGGCTAGATTTTGAGGCAGAGGGTGAGAGTACTATGAAGAGACATAATACATGGCCAAAGTCACGTTGTACAAAACTAATTGGCTCAACCTGGGACCCTTCCAGGCAGGCCCTATATCCCAATATCTGATCCTCGGTTTTCTGTTTATCCCTGATTATCTGGCAGTGTGGACTCACATAATTCAGTTCAAAGCAGAAAACTTGGGATCAGATCCTGGGATATAGGGCCTGTCTGAAAGGTCCTCCTAGATTGCTTTATTCATTTATTACTCTCATCTTATTGGAAGTGCAACTATAAAATAAAACTGCTTTGCTGATTTAGACAAAATTTAATAAGTGAAATAATGCTTTTCCAGAAGCATCTGGCTTTTTAGAAGTTAACAAGCAGAGTAAAGATATGTCAGTCTTCCCTTGCTTGTTCCCAGAATCTGGTAGAGATGTCCTGCCATTGAATGGGAAGGTTTCAGTAAACTAGCCTGGGTGATAGGTCATGTGTAGAGCTTTCCTCCATGAATTTGTCTAACTCTTTTTTTTAAAAGCCATCTATGACAGGTTAGATGCGGCCCCCAGGGCCAAATTTCAGGGCAAATGCCAGTGACTAGAGGGGTAAGGCAGGGCTGTATCTTAGCCCTTACTTCATTTTACTTATTCCTGAATGATCTCAAGGAAGCCATGATGGACCTACAAGGCCACCTGTTGTATGCAGATGATACAGCCATCCTCTCCAGGTCTAGACCAGGGCTTATACACCAACTCAGGAAATTTACAGAATATTGCAAAACAAATGAGCTAACTATAAATTTCAGCAAAAGTTATCTAAGCTAAAAGCTGTTACCATGTCTTGTGGAACATAAGAGAGCACTACACAAATATATTCTGAACCTATAGCCAAACAACTCTTTGCATTATCTGTGAGTTCTAGAAATCGAGGAAATAGAAAAAAAATCTGATTTTGTTTTTCCTAACTACAACTTATAAACTTTTGTAATATTCTATTGAATCTCTTCTAAAATATTTTCCACAAATTTTGGATCAGTTTACTTGCCTTATTCAGCTCTATACCCCTTCTGACATTCTACTCTGTGGTAAACCAAATTTTGAAGTTTCCACATAAATGACAAAATCCAGCCATATTATATTGTAGTCACAATTTTTTACTTGTCAAAAGAAATGAGCAAAAACTGTGTTTTCTGCTCTTTTTAGGGAAGTCAAAGTGTAAATAATATCTATGCACTGAAATCCATCCTATCTTTTCTGTGATCAAATATAACTGACAATTCTGGAGGTTATGCAGTTCATACACATATCTTCTTGAGAGCCTTATGTTCTACATTCACCTCCAATTAAATACTTATAAATGAATTAATTTTACAGGAAAAGTATTCATACACTATTAAACATATTTAAACAAGTTCAACACATTCAAGCAATGGACAATAATACTATACTCCTCAAAGTACTTTTTCAGAACTATAATTCATTCTGAAGATACATTTCCAGAATTTTCCAGGAGGAGGCTTGTTCCTTGGCCATTTTTGGTCTTATGCTTAGTATATGTGTCCCATGTTCCTCCCTGCTCAAGAAAATTATTTTATCGCAGTGTGCTGCCTATTTTTCAGAGGAAAATGCTGCTGCTCAATTGTAGAGTACATGCTTGCTGTGCAAAATGCCCCGATTCAGTAACAGGCATTGAGAAAGGCTCCCATCTCCAGCCATAGGCAAAGAGTATTAGTGGTCAAGATCTCCCTCTTCTGCACCATCTGGCTATTGGTGGATTATAATCAGTGCAATTCATAACTATCCAAATCCATGGTTCAATACCAAATGAAATCATCTTACAAAAAAAAAGCATGGCACAGAAAATGAAGCCTATCTAGGACATATGTTTTCCAAAACTTTATAAAGAAAAAAAATTAAAAATCCCCTTGGAAGGAGCTGGCTGGATGAAATGCTACACACAAGAGTCTGACCCATAAGCTGTACTGCTGGGTATAGGGGGGAGAAGCATAATAACCAGCTATTCAATCTTTTCTTATGCTTTGCAACACCTGATTCACAAGAAGCATTACTTGTCATAATATGTGGTTAGCAATGAAGTCAGGTAAAAACTAAAATAAACTTTTAAATAATTGGATTAGGTGTTCAGCATTCCTTTTTCCATGTCTCTTGAGTGCAACAAAAGGGCTTCATTGTAAACTGCATACCAGCAATGCAAAGCAAAAGGATTTCCACCACTAATGATGCAAACTCTGTTATCATCGCCAAAAGCTTCAATTAAAGCCAAGCTTTCACTTTTATTGCAAATGATGACATGCCATTCAGGAATGACACTGCTCAATGAAACAAGCCAGCCAGGGCTATAGTATTCAATTGTATATTAGCTTTCTATCTCAAAGCAATGTGCTGCTTCCACAGATCATAGTGCAAAGTATCTGACTGAAATGCAACTGACTGAACTGTAGCCAAATTAAATAAAGGAAACTTTTATTCAGACACCTTGTTAAAACCTGGAAAGTCTATTTCAGAAAAAAATATTTGTAACAAATATTAGGTTTCATAAGTCTGGGAATCGACAAATTTATCTGAAATTATTTAGGATTGTGTGTGTGTCTGTGTGTGTGTAAAGATGGAATGTGCTAACTATACAAATTCATTCCACCCCTGTCTCAAGTTTCTTTAAAGATTATTTTATAGCAGATCAGACACAAACCAAGCCATTGACAATCACTGTGAAAATGGGAAACACCTGAACAGAGCAAGACCCCTTCCACATATTCTCCCTCATTATTCTCATCCCTTCTGCCATCTTCACCCACATTTGCAAGATCTATATCCCTGGCAATACACTACAGACTGAATATCCCTTATCCAAAATGCTTGGGACCAGAAGAGTTTGGGATTTTTAACCCAGATTAGAACACCTGTATTTTTATGTGTGTATAGATTGAGATACCTTGGGGATATGTTTCATATACATATAACCTGAAGGTAATTTAATGCACAATATTTTAAAAATATTTTTGTGCATGAAACAAAGTTTATGCACATTGAACCATCATAGAATCATAGAATCCTAGAGTTGGAAGAGACCTCGTGTGCCATCCAGTCCAACCCTCTGCCAAAAAGCAGAAAAATCACATTCAAAGCACCCAAGACAGATGGCCAGAAAGCAACAATGCTGCTATTTAATTCGGCACATGGACAAATTTGGATTTTGGAGTAATTCGGATCTTGGAAATCCAGTTAAAGAATGATCAACTCTACCTCTCCTTCTCTGAAATGGTACTTCAAAATCCATCCTTATGTGGTGCAGATATGCACTCTCTCTCTTTGAGGCATGCAGAGACTCTTTTATTTATTTATTTATTTATTATTATTTGATTATTTAATTTATTTATATCCCGCCCTTTTCACCTGAGGAGACTCAGGGCAGCTCACAACAAAGGCACAATTTGATGCCTTGAACGCATACCAACATAAAAATAACATATGCATTAAAATCACATAATTAAAACATATCAATTAAACAATTGTCATCTATAGACTTAATTCTTGCCCCACGTCCGACATGTTCGATGGTCTCCCTCTTTACTTTACTCCCTCTTTACTTTTCTTCTTATGTATTAAGTGCATTACCTGTGCACTTAACACTGTTGTCAAGAATAAAAGTGCTTTGCTTCAAAATCAACTGCCTCCAATTCACAAAAGTTATTCATGCAAGAAAGTGTTTGCATTCTTGGAGTCACTCTCTTTTCTCCTTCTATGAAAAACACTTCATTTGCTGCCACAACTGTATCCTTACCTCCACACACTACTGTCAAACTTGTCATATTACTGTATTATTTCATCACAGAGCTTTTCTTTGGACTTATTCCAATGCTACCAACAATGATCTTTGAGATCAGGCAAGCGATGAATATAAAACACCCTGACACGCAAGATCAGGCTGAATGCTTGCTGCGACACATGGATATTGCCACACCAAAGAGATCTTTAGATATTACCACATTAACCACTTTAGATATCACCATATCAAACAGATCTTCAAGGAAATCTGAAACAGAGCATACTTCAGATCTTACTCCTGATATTGCCACTCCTTGTCTGTCCCTAGCTAAGTACCAATCACTGCAGAAATCCTAAACTAAATTAAAGTGAAAGGCTGGCTGTCAAGATACTGAAAATGCTGGATTCAGATGAACACCTACATCCCAGAGGATCTTATCTAGTGATGTTCATATAAACTGAAGTGGAGTGAGAGAAAAACAAGACAGAATGCTGAAAGGTTGCACAAGCAAAGGAAGAAAGAAGGGGTGTACTGCCTCCTATTACTATCCTCTATTTCTGAAAAAATGGAAGAGAATTGCTCTAGTACAGTCTATTTAAAAATTGCTCATGGTGCCCCAATGAAGCTAATATTAATAAGACACCAGTCATATTGGAAAGATAGCAGTATGCAAACCAAACAAGAACAGATAAAAGAGGAGCTCAAACTAATTCATAAAAACAGCAGATTGCTAGGGAAAGCAATTGAGTTATAAACACATGTTCATATCTGGCTCTCCTCTAAGGGAAGAGGTTTCCGCAACTGAGCCGCCCTTGTCAAGATTTGAGAACTTGCATTCCAAAACATAAAACAGAACTATAAGATGCACATTATTTCAAAACCAATACCCTGAAGTCAGGTCTCTCTCTCTCTCTGTGTGTGTGTGTGTGTGTGTGTGTGTGTGTGTGTGTGTGAAGCAACTATAGAAAAGAAGGCTTAGCTACTTCCAAAAACAAATCAAACTCCAGTGCTATCAAGAATATAGGACACAAAAAGCTGGAGGGACATTTCTCATCAACTGCAGGCTCTTTTAAGACATCATCAGTTAACAGATGATTACAGCTTAAGGCCTTTTCTCTTTCCTCCTTCAGCCACGTGTTATTAACAGTGTCTAAATATACCAAACTGAATACAAAGTAATCCAATTGCTTAAAAGTTTTCATGCATGAAAATTATATACTTCTCAACTGTGTCCCATGACCTTCTGCTGTGATGGGTCTTCACCAGTAATGCCTGTGTGTTCAGTGAAAGCCCTGGGTCCTGACAGCTTTCTTTCTGAAGAATCGTGATTTGTCTTTACTACTAAAGTGATATTTGGACTGTACCTTATCCCCTTTTTCTTCAGGCTCATCCTCATTGAGAAATTCTCGTTTTGGATAAGGAATCTGGCAGCCTGCAAAAACACTGGAATAGAAGGGGGGGAAAAATTAAACAGAATTATATGAGAATGTATTAACGTACAATGTTGCATAGATTTTAAAGTCAATCATTAGCATCCACACTTTTGTTTTGCACAGTAGTATTTCAAAATGATAAGGGCATTATTATTGCATATTTGAAAGATGACATAGAACTGGATTTAGATATACAGACAGTCCCTAACTTACTTTTGTTATTTTATTGTTTTATCTCACTCCCACCCTCCTCTCCTTGTATACAGCAAACTACAGAAGTTACATTTGAAATATTCATCTCAGTCTTAATTTTTCCACTCCACATCTTAAACATTTTCTAAATAATTCCTAATTGGTTCCCACATCCTCTTGATTATTGTAACCTTTTCAATTTGATCTATATTGTTACATTTGCAATTGGTTATTTCCACATTTAACGTATTAACTATATACTTATACCACTTACTCAGTGTCCATTTTGTTTTATCTTTCCAAGATAGGTTTTGTAGGTTTGTTCTTAAGTAAAATTTGTTTGTAAGTTGGAACATGTACATTTTAAGTGTAACTCCATTCATACACACAAACACACAAAACCGCTGATAGTATAGGGAAGGGTTAACACCCCCATGGTGAGAAAGCTTCAGTGGAGGCACCTTTCCCCCATGATAATACTTCTTCCAAGAGTGAATTTCTCTTCCAAAGAGTATATTTTTCTCATTTCCTGTTGTCTCACCTGTTCTTAACTATTAGTAATTTGTAAGTTGGATGTTTGTAACCCAGGGACTGCCTATATCATTCTGTTCATGGAACAGGTTAAATGAGTGGAAATGAGAAGAATGATTCCTATGACAGTTCACAGAGCACCCTCAAAATCTTATCTAGAAGGTTGAGACACCATCAAGTGCTGGCATCCAGGCAGCACTATAAGGCAGAGCACTGAGTCCATTAGTATATTTAAGTCTCAGAGAACACACATTTATAACCTGGAGGGAGGGGAAGCTGTAAAGAACAGGAAATACACATACTCTGATGTAGGCAGTGGGTCTTCCTGGAAATAAGCATCCTGCAAAGCTTGCTCTGAGGTAATTCTTTTTGTAGGATCCATCGTGAGAAGTTTTTGAAGCTATGTAGTAAAATATTAGAAGAATTAAACTTATATGAATATTTAGAACTTATTGGCACTCGTGGAAATATAAAATCTGAATAGATTCAAGTTTTCTACATAGGATTTACTGCACAGATAATAATAATAATAATAATAATAATAATAATAATAATAATAATAATAATTGTGTCCGACGTGTAATCTAATACAACAGCCAACAGAGTGATCTTGTCTGCTGTGGACTCATCTTGTTGTGTTTAAAATAATAATAACAACAACAACAACAGCAACAACAACAATAACAGTAACAACAGCAACTATTTATTTGTATACCGCCCTATTTCGCCGAAGAGACTCAGGGCAGTTTCCAACATATAAGGCAAAACATTCAATTGCCAAGAAGAAAATCATAAAAACAGATTAAAATAAAAGCATCATAAAACACAAAAATCATACTAGAACACCGCAATAAAGATTTAAACCAATTGCAATTATAAGTCCATCAGACAAGGTTCAATAAAACCAAAATAGGCATGGTCAAGTAAAAAAGGGCCGGGCAAGGGATAGTGCAAACAGTGTATCATGGGGATGGGGAAGTGGAGAAAGTGCAGAACAGAATACTAACTGATGACCTAGGGACTGAGCCTGGGGACTAATCATTCTTGAAAACTTGCTGGAACATCCAGGTTTTCAGGTCCATATGGAAGGAGCACAGTGTGGGGCCTTGCCTAATCTCCCTAGGGAGGTGTTCCAAAGTCAGGGGGCTACAACCGAGAAGGCCCTCGACCTCGACCTCACCAACCATGCTTGTGATGGAGACAGAAGTGATGGAGACAGAAGACAATACTATATAATAAAATGTGAGTCTTATTTAAATTTAAAAGGGCATTCTAGGAAAAAGTAAAACTCTCTGAACATCTAAGATCATATTAGTTTCCAATGAGGAATCTTACAGGGGAATGAAGAAGACCTGTCTGCAAATAGTTTTGATGCAAGAATTAGCAATGTTAGATTTCAGTTTTGTATAAGCTCTTGGATATATGCCACCTGGTGACCTGTCAACCATTAATAAGTCCCAGAAGGCTTGGGTTAATCAACAACTCATTAATCAGCCTCAGTGAAATGATTAAAGATTCTAAAAACACAAGAAATAGTGCAGAACATCAAATGATTGGAGAGTTTTCAATGCATTACAATTTTAAATATGTGCATGATTAGCCTTGTTTTTACCAAAGTAAGGTGAAGCTGATATGCTTAGCAAATATTCCCAGGAGTAAGTCCACCTGAACACAATAGGGATTCCCTCTTAATAGACATACATAGGACTAAGCTGTTGATACCACATAATAAAATAAATGCATCAACAGTACTACAATACTAGCCATATTGTCAACAGTGCTATGGGACTGGCCAAACAAACAAAAACATAACTCACCAAGAGGAATACTTTGCTGTCAGGCTTGACTTTGTGTTTTTCCATATATTTTATGAGGCTACTATTGGCATAACTGGAAAATCAAATAGAAAGAAAATAGGTTTCAAAACAGTATTATCACAAATAAAATATATACAATATTTTTCTTCTTGGTCACTTATAATGCCAGGATTTTTAAAAATTAAAGTTAATTAGGATTTTAGTTACTAGCCAGACAACAGCAGTTCTACACATTCCCTAGTCCAGGAATAGACAATTTGTGGATCTCATCAGCCCAGACAGCATGATCAGAAGTCAGGGATTATGAGAGCTATTTAAAATGACCAATGGTTTAAAGGTGCTTTTAAAACTGGCACAATGCACTGATAGCAGACTGTCTGCATGGCTGCCATGTTCTGAACCAGATGAATCATTCAGATAATTTTCAAGGGCAGCAACACATTCTACATAATAAAGTAACTTAATTTGAATACAGGAAGCCTTTGTATTTTAATATCTGAATTAAAAACAAGAAGATGGCTACATTCAAATGTAAGGTTAAGCCAAAGTTCTGTACTAAAGACTCCCTGCAGTGAACCTGGGCATGTGAAAAGAGGACAAATTTTACGCAGTTTGAAACAACTCTTTTCTGATTTCCTATGATTCCTAATCTTAATATGGTAACTATCTATGATTTGTAAAAATCAGCTCCCTACCCAGGCAAAACAGGAAAGAGTTCTTTGTTACACATCATGACCACAATCTTCACACTTTCATCCTTGCGTGAGAAAAGAGGAAAAGGGGGAAGAATGTGCATATCCTCCATTTGCCATGGTAGTTTCTCACACCAACAAAACAGGCATTATTCCTGGAAGAGGTTGCTCAAAACCTGATCCCAGTGACCATGTTTTTGAAAGTACTGTAGATCTAGATACATATCACTTACGTTGTTCTCCTAAAGTCTTTTTGAAGAGTAGGATATTCTGGCATCTTCCTAATGTCTTCCCAGTCTTTATCTTTGTAGAAAAGAAATGATTGGCAATTTAAAAAAAACATAGGTTAAGTTACTATATTTTAAAAAACAAGTAATACTTGCTTGCCCTCCAGTGTTGTGTGCATATTAGTAACTAATTGAGAAAATCCAAATAAAGGATTTTTGCAGGAAGACAAATTACATATCTTTTTTAGTGGCATTAAATTACCTGCAGGAAATCCCATTACACTGAATATGCGATCAAGTTGATCATGATGAAAAGGATTGCTTGTTTTAATGTCTTCCTGACGACAGTGAAAGATGGGTTCTGAAGTCAATAGTTCGGCAAATATACAGCCAATGGCCCATATATCTAGGAAATATGATCAGAAGAAATGTTAAATGCCCTCATTATTTCTCACCAATAAAATACGACATTTAATGGCTATAATAAAACAATACAGTAAAATATACAGAATATTTTAAAAATAGGATAGTTCTGCTATACTAGAAAAACAAACTCACTCATAAATTTTACTTGAAGGCACTATTTTGTAGTTAGATACTTTATAGAATTGTTTAAAAGCAGAACACCCTCAATCACTGTTGACAATATAAAGTTTAACTGATTACATGAAATAAAATAAAGCAAAAGGTAAAAAACTTTATTAGTATTGTGAAGGAATATTAAACATTCATAGAAGCAGGGATGGGAGGAAACATACAAATGATCTCTTCAACATTATTGGCAGGCATAGAACGTAATTCAGCAAAAATAATTTTTGAGTTTTTCAATAAATAAATATTCGAAGTTACAGAAAATATTCAAAGATACGGAAGTTTTGGTTTAAGGTTCACTCACATTACATTTTAATTAAAAAAATACATTACTGTGAGCTATATGTACTAAAGAAGTGATTCTCAACCCGTGGGTTCCCAGATGTTTTGGTCTTCAACTCCCAGAAATTCTAAGACCCACAGGTTGAGAACCACTGTACGAAAGGGAAGGCTAAAGTTGCAAACACTCTTAATGACAAAAGCTACTTCCCAATCAGTTTAACAATAATATTTAATGAACCGAAGAGGACAGAATATTTTCTATTTATTTTGGACTTTTAAAATCAAAATCATAACTATGTACACCATGTATCAGCCAGAATTCCATTTTATACAATTATAGTATAACAATGCTGTGTGTCTTCGAGGCCTTTCTGATTTATGGTGACCCTAAGGCTGTGTTGTCCTAGAGGATTTTCTTAGAAAGATTTGATCAGAACGAGTTTGCCACTGCCTTTCCTGGAGACTGAGGGTGTGTGGCTTGTCCAAGGTCATCCAAAAGGTTTCCATGGTAGAGTGGGAATTCAAGGTTGGTTTTCCAGAAATGTAGCCCATACTGAAATCACTGCAACATGTAGGTTCTCTGATAAACTCCTTCACAATGATTGCCAGCACTAATTGCCAATTCACAATGATTGCCAGCCATTCCAGTGACTGCCTAAAAGTAAGCTGGGTGGGAAGATGGGGAGAAAGTATGAAAAATGCATACCAAAAAGGATTTACATGGATCCAAAGGCTTTCTGAATCACAATAGTCACATACAGAAGGCAGTCTATATAGAAAATAGAATGGGATTTTTGGGTTAGTAGGCCAGTTTAGAGATGGCTTATGACAGGAAGGAGGGCAGAGGAGGAAAGATCAAACAACGTATGTCTGCAATGTGACCTAGACGGTCATCTGAAAGGGCAGCAGAAGTGTAGAACTGGAGGCTACTGTCACTGTCCAGTGCCCAGGAAAGAAACAAACCATTCCCATTGTTCCACTGCAACTATCATTTATAAGTATACTGCATTAGAACATGGATAAAATTTAGCTATCATGGCTCATGGCTGCGTGTAGTTGCTACTTTAGATGAATCTATCTCATTCCGCTTTTAAATCTAACTTATGCTGTAATTGTAAGCAGACTTTTCAGTGCTGTGGATCACAGGAGTTCTTATCTGAATAAACGTGGAAAGAATGTCTGCCGGTGGCCAGATTTAATAGTCATGGGCTGACAGTAAATCCTATCAATGTATGTTGTATCATGAAGCATTTTCTTTTTTTTCTATTTACTGTTTATTTATTTATTGAATATATGTTCTATCTCTCTGCTTGCAGGATATCAGTGTGGTCTTCATAAACTGAAGGTATGGGAGAAAATGCGGAAGAGGGCAACAGTCTGAAAGCAGGTGGCTGAAGGAGTTCCAACAGTGAGCTCCCTGCAAGCAAACATTTCACAGGGTATTCAGACTTCTTTTTATGTTCCTTCTATTTCCTTACAGGACATAGGTTGTGGCTGTGCCCTTGGCACAATGAGTTCCTAAATTTTATGGCAATATTCCCAAGGACATGAAAGCCAACATAGTGCCACTGAGAAAGACTCAGAAAGGTATGTAGATAAGGCCATCAGGAATGTGACAGAGGTATTCTGATTGTAGGATGCCAGGTTCCTGGCATTATGAAGGTGTTGCCATTAGAAAGGAGCTATTCTCTAGGTACTGAATTGGTCAACAAGAAGGCAAGAGACATTGAGTCATACAGCACTAATTAATCACTTTTAATATAGAAATATGAAATTAGATAGGTGTGTTTACTACATGGACATCTGACTACCGAGAAGACTGAAAGTATCACAAGTATATAAGCTGGCAGAAAATGACATATCAATGACATATCAACACTCATATTCCACACGAACACTGGTGATGACAATAGTGTTTCCTAGAATCAGAAGTTAGATTGCTAAGTAGGATTTTGAAATTCAGGGCTTTCAAGGTCATATTCTCAGAAATGATAACCATTCTATGTATCACTGTAATTCTAATAGTTCAAAAAAAAACTTGACCAAGAAAGATAGGCCAGTCAGCTTAACTTATGTTCTGAATAAACTACTGGAAATAAAATGTTATTATCTGACCTACAAGAAAAAAGGTTGGGTAGTGGGACCTCATTAGCTCCCCATGGGATCTTGGAAGACCATAGCCTCCTATTTTATTATTCTCCACAAATGTTCATGGGGGCAATGTCTCTATGTTTTTGGCCCCCTCTGGGTCATGTTGGTCAAAAGAGGTATTTTTCGAACAGGAAGTGACCTGGCAAGAAGACCTCTGGCAAATCTAAAATGGTCCAAGGAGCAAAATGTGGAGAAAGTTTTCCTTACATTACTTAGGGAATGTCTGCAGGCACTAGGAGGCAAAAGGAAAAAAGAGTAAGGGGCCCCGAGAATCACAGAATAGTTCCATGAGCCACATGTGGTCTGCTGGCTGTACTTCCCCACCCTGGTATAGAAGAACAGCTCTTGCTGACCAAGAATCAACATAGCTTCTGCAAAGGTCAAATCCTGCTTGGCTAGTCAGTTACGGCTTTGAAAGTGTTAAGAAACATGTGAGTGGGAGTGATGTGGCAGACATTATCTACTTACACTTTGATAAAATCACTCACCAAACACTCCTGAGTAAACTTAGCAGTCATAGAATGAATCACCAGGTCCTTTTATGGATATGTGATTGGTTTAAAGACAGAAGATAAAGAGTTGGAATGAATGAACACTTCTTACAATGGAGAGATGTAAACAGGAATGTCTCCTAATGTTGTATATTGAGACTGGTTCATTCTAATTGGTTCATAAATGGTCTGGAAGCAGAAGTCTGGAAGAAGAATGAGGTGACTACATGTTCTGAAACATCAAATGATGCAGAATAGAAAAAAAACAGTACAAGGAACTAGGAAGGGGCTTTATAAAATGGAAATACAGTTCACTTTATGTAAGTATAAAATAAAATCTTCCCTTTACATATACAGGGCTACAATCAAAAGATGGCTAATAAAAGAGAAGATCTGTGGGCTATACTGATAACTTAATGAAACTGTAAATCTGATATATGACAGGAGTGAAAAAAGAGAATTCCATGTTCGGAATCATTAGGAAAGTGACCAAAATACAAATGTATTTTTGCACATAGGTATGGTGTGAACACACTTGCAATATTTTGTACAGTTCTGATAGCCTCATCTCAGAAAGAGGTAGGGACTTCTTCACACAGCCCTTTTGGCCATGCCGTTGCTCCAGCAATTGCAGGTGAAAAGGAAGGCATGTGGAGTGGCTTGAGGAACCCTGCCCTCCATCCTCCTCTCATTATATGGAGGGGATGGGAGAGGGTGTTTTGGTACGCTTTCCCTCCCCTCATCAGATGGCAGAAATAGCAGCAACGCATGGTGCCCCACTGCCCTTTCTGCCATCACACAGGGACTTGGTGGAGATAAAGTGCCTTTCAGTGCTTCACCTCCACTTTGGGAGGAACGTGGGTGAAGCCTGCCATGCATAGTGTGATGACTCATGACAGAACCTGTCCAAGCCGCAAAATAAAGCAGCAAAATGGGGTGTTTTTGCCCCATGTGAAGAGGTCCTTGGTAAATGCAGATCTAATGAACAGAAATCCAAACTACTATTTTATAAGGAAATACTATTTGGAGATTTTAACAGAAAAAAGTGACTCAATTAGGAAAGTGATAAGACTATAAAATTAGGTACTGGGTGGAAAAAGAATTTTCTCTCCTTCTTTTGCATAATATTAATGGTCTTCCAACAAAATTGACAGAAGATTCAGCACAGACAAAAGAAAAGCACTTTGGCACACAACATATAATGAACTTGTATTATCTGCTTCCATAAGAACTGATGATGGTCCCGAACTTAGATGGCTTTAAATTAAACGAAGTGCTGTGATTGATTTATGAAGAAAACAAAATTTGTTGCCTACAAGGTACTGGAGATACCTTACAATTTGATTTCTAAGCTCACTGAGTAGCTTATGTTAAATTGTATAACCTGTATACAAAAATGTGCAATGACTCTTTGAATTGTTGATGTTAAGGAGCTTCAGAGCAAGTATCTTGAGCACATGTTGAGGGAGTGAGGAGACTGTGCAAAGCTAAGTGCTCTTGGGACATGTTGCAATTTGGTTTCAGGCCTTATTTCAGAAAAGAAGTCACCTTAGTCACTCTGCTGGATAACCTATGTCTAGAAAAGGATCAAGAATCATGACCCTGCCAAATGGCTGCAGCACATAATTTTTCATACGACCTTCTAGATACTTTGGTTCTTGGGGGTTCAGACTAGTCCATTTTTATTCATTCAAACTTTTAAATGTTTGCCTCTCATCTTTTATCATGAGAAGTGTTAAACACTTTCACCTTAAGTTATGCTGTATTTATTAGAAGAAGATTTCAAGCTGTAGCTTGAGAGTTACATCATACTATAGAAGGAATGTGCAAGTACTAAGTATTCTATAGTTACAAAGGCGATTCTTTGCTCTGTGATTAACTCAATAATTATTTTGTTTGTAAGACACAAGTCTGGACTCACGAGGCACACAAACATTATAGTTATTACGGCTACATATTGCATCCTCCTTGACAGGGATTTTGATATGACTATGCCAGCATGTGCATCTGTCTGGTCATGTCTAGTCATGGCTTTTGAAGCACCTCTGAACACTTCTACCACACCTTCTCTGGTTCCCTCATATACACAAGGAACACTTACCCAAGATAACACCTACTGCCTACAGTCTTATTGCATTTTTAGTTTATTTTACAGAATTCACTGGCGTTTCATTTTTCATTTGTTATGCACACCTTCATGCATGTTGCCCTGAATATGATTTTGTTATAAATATACTGTTCAGTAAACTACTGTAATTAGTACCTAGGACATATGATAAATTTCCCAAATACTGCACTCTTGTAATAATTACATCTTTGATTCTTATTCCACTAATGCCAATGGTAGAGTACACCAATACAATCTTTCTTCCTGTCCAACTACAAGCTTCTCCCTATATGCTGACGTACTTTAAAAAATCTGCAAGTGCTTTACAATTTGAGAATTCTTATGGTCAAGCATAATGATACAAACTGAATTCTACTTGTAATAATGTAACCAACCACCTTAGCAGTACACATCATATGGATGGACTTCTGAGATGGTGATATTTAAGATGTGTGTGTTCACTATCAAATAGTATTCCAAATAATCTTCTAGTTCTTTCTCAAAGTTGCATTACACAGAATATGTATCTTTCACATACAATACAGCAGTTATCACATGGTGTTACGTTTGAAAGAAAAAAAGATTGGCATACAATACCACATCTGTTAGATCCCAAACAAAACAATCCACTTACTGTGTTTCATATTACAATGGTAAAGACAAACTACTTTGTAACAATGATCATTTTACACTGAGAACAACAAACATGCATGTATAGAATGAGCAATGTTGTATACATTCAATTACCATAATCACACTCACAAGCCATCAGTAAATGTATAATAAAACAACAAGAAAATAATCTTATTTAGAACTACAAAGTTATCTTGCCAATTTAAAACAACACAGGCAATAAAGAAATGGGGGTATTTTACAAAAGGCAAAGTAGACTGGACACTCTACACTATGGCATTTAATTCAACAAGCTTAAATAAAGTCTTTCAGTAAATTTACATTTATTGTCTCATATAAAATTTAATTTTGCTTCTCCTATATTAGAGGAAAATATTAACAATGGAATACCGAACAATCATGAGTTTCCAGTCTACCATTTTAATATTCACTTGAAATAATCTGTTATAACATAAAGAAGTTGAAAGCTGGCATACAGGAAAGTCTAGATTTTTTTAAATGCAATTGTTCTGGAACGGGTGTTCCAGGGGCTCCAATTTTGTGTTTTGCACTGAGTGTTTGTTCATAGTTCTAAGTTGCAGGGACTTTGCAGATAGGTGGCTTCCTTTGGCTGCATTCATAGGGCAAGCCACCTGTCAATAATAGTTAGGTTCCCTGGTCCCGCCCCTTTTTGAGTTTTGGTGGGAACGGGAGCCATTTTGAGTTAGTTCTCACAGAGAGGCCTTTCGCACAGGACATGAAACGAAGTGGCTCCTGTAGAAAAGCTTCATCTTCTACAGCTTGGCCGGGGTTATACAGCCCTACGGCTTGGCCGGGAGACATACAGCCACAGCTTGGCTGAGGGACTCCAGCCGGCCATCACAGCAACCTGAACTGCTTCTTTTTCCCTGGAGGTCTACAAAGCTCTGTTGGGGCAAGGGTCGCTCGCAGAAGCCAGACGCAGTTGGTACCGGGTGCAGGAGCTCCACGTCAACAGAGGCAAGTACAGACTGCCCAGATTAGAAGTTAGGATTTCCCCATTAGTTAATTACAGTTAAGAAGACAGTGCCTGTTCCCAGTGAACAAGATTGCAAGAGCCAATAGACAGTTAAGAAAGTTTGAAAGTACCTGTTTGTTTTCATCAGTAAAGAACTTTGTTGGACTTACTTTAAGCCTCTACAGAACTTTGTTTGGGGGAATCTAAGGGCCTTTAATCTGAGGCAGCCCCAGCGTCCCGTTGGGCACACGGAATTTATGTCCTGTCTACAGTCATGAGCACAGGCCCAGCGTGCGACAGCACAGCAATGCTCTGTGAAACCTTATCACCTATAAATACTGTCATCCTATTCATGAGATCTGAGTGGGCACTTATTGACCAGGAAAGAGATCCTGCGAACACGGCACACAGTTCAATGAAAAAGTCAACCCAGTGTGTGGTTGTTGTTAAAAAGGTAAACCTTACATTAGAGGCTAACATATCAATGTCATAACATCATTACAAATCCATTATTTGATTACACTTGGAACACTGAATATAGCTCTAGGTGCTATATTAAAAAAAAAAAGACATCCTGTATCAAAGGTGGGCGACGGTGGAAGGCAAATGGGGACATATTGGCCCTCCAAGATATTTTGGAAAATGCAAACCCACTGCCAAAAAAAAGTCAGAGCACAGGGATATTGCTGCTATGCCTTTAGATATATCCATAAGCCTTTTCAGTGTAAGGTGTTTTTTGTTGTTTTTTCTTTTCCAAAAACAGGAAGTCAGTGAAAGTAGCTTCTGGTTAACTTCCAGTTTCAAAAAAAGGCACTTCCTAAGTTTTTATTTCTAGAAGAAAAAATGAGGTCCAAGTATATTTACAATACCATTGTCAGTTTCACTCATCTTTATGAAATTTGAAAATGGATTCTCCCCTATTTCCCTACATTTTAAATATTTTCACATGTGTTGGGCTGTGTTTGAAAGCAATTCCAATGCTCTCAAGCATGTTTTCTTTCTCTCCACTTGCATCTTCACATTTGTTGATAATGGCATTTGTGTGTAAAATCAGAGAAGGACATGACCTTTGAAGGCTGAACATCTGGCTTATGAAAGGCAGCCCTGCATGGAGCAAAAACTTGAGGGCTGAACAGGGAAAATGTGTGCCTGCCAGTGATGTAATTAATTCAGATAATGATTCTGGAGGAATGTCAGGCAACTTAGTCAATGGAATAAGATTGATTAAAAGTACAAGATTGTTATGAAGTGGCCATTAAAGGTTCCTCACGTTCTAATTCTGCATTAGTGCTGATCAAAAGTTCTTTGACTGTTAAACTGCTGGATGTGCCATTCTTGCTATTTCAAATGATTACCACAAACCACGATGAGTATATTCCATCATTATCACTTTAATTATGGAAGGTCCTTTTGACAGAGATGACCTCAGACACAGAATGTTTAATTCTCATAACCCAAAAAACTTACCAATGGCCTTTGTATAGTGCCTTGCACCAAGTAACAATTCTGGGGCTCTGTACCAAAATGTCACCACAACTGGATCCAGATCTGCCAGTGGCTTGAGTGGAGAATTGAATAACCTTGCAAAACCCATATCAGCTGAAAAATAGAGTATTTTTATTACACCAAATGCAAATGGTTCCAGAGCAAACTATAGCATATTATCATTCTCCATATCCATAATAATAATAATAATAATAATAATAATATAATGAAACTTTATTTATATACCGCTCTATCTCCCCGAGGTGACTCAGAGTGGTTCCCAGGGAACATCACAAAACATACGAAGTAAAACAACATAACCATAAGATTAATGAAACAATATAAACATAAAAATTGTTGCCATAATACACATATATTAAAAATATCCACTGCCCAGTCACTTCAGTGGGTTCAAGGGTCTTCCACAGACCATTGCATTACTTCTTATTCTATAACCTCCTCACATATCTTCCTTTGAACTCTTTGTCTAAACGGGGGCTTGCATTTTGGGTGGAAATCTGAAAGTCATCCCTAGCAAGGCAACATGTGGATGTCAGACTAGTGTTATCAATATTGCTGGTGACACAAAATGAGATACTGACCCCTATCACAAATAATTATTCTAAGAAGGCTGAAGGAGCACTCCATAACCATTGAGATATTATCTTGTGCCAGTTGACCAACATGTCAAATCCATTTAAACCACTATCCACTATCTGCTTCTATCCACTTCAGTTTTGTTACATAGCCTTGCATATTTTTATCCTTAAAGGTTATCCTTACAGTCGGACATACATATACACATATTTGTATAAACCTTCACTGCACTTCTAATATACATTGAATTCAATCATCTCTCTAAATGATCTATTGATTCAGGCAAAATGTTGATAGCTCTAATGTCTGACTCATACTTTTTTGTAACATAAGATTTTGGTAGAAATAAGGATTCAATTATCGAAAATAAATTGTCTTTTTCAAATCTGCACACACTGGGTTTACTATCTGAAATGTGATTTCTGATACCCTTTTTGCCAATGTAATTGCTACAAGAAATTATACCTTGGAAATAATGAATGACAAGGATACCCCATGAAGTGGTTCAAAAGGAGATTTTGTCAAGATACTCAATACCAAATACTCAATACCAAATTCAAATCATAGGTAGGGAATCTATGAACAGCTGGTTAAGCTTGTAAAGTTACTCCTCTCAAAATTCTCTTGTCTTACTACTAGCATATTTTTTCTTATTTCACTCTGAAAATAAGACGAGAGATCACCTGTCTGTAATCTTCCATTAACCCTGAATGTTGCAATCTTCTGGAAAGCCCTTAGTGTGATTTAATATATCCTCTGCATTGAATGGTTTTTCCACTGACATATTTATTGACAGAGGATACCAAGGTCTATGGAGCTACAACAGGCATGGACAAACTTTGTCCTTCCTGATGTTTTGGGCTTCAATTCCCACAATTCCTAACAGCTGGTATGCTTTTTGGAATTGTGGGAGTTGAAATCCAAAACACCTGGAGGGCCGAAATTTGTCCATGCCTAAGCTACAGTGTAATATTTATCTACACCGATTTTCTTGAGAGCTGTCTAGACTATTGAAAGTGGAAGAAATTTCCATTGCTTTCCTGAACTCTCACCTTGCTCTGGATCTTCCAGGCCTAAAGTAATACTTTTCTAAGCAAACCCTTCATGTTTTCATGATTAAATAGTATACTCTTGTTTTGATCCACTGAAGATTTCTCGTATGAGGCTCCCACGTCATCCAAATCTCTGCCTCCATTTCTCTACCTCCTGCATGCTCAAATCTTTCTTTTTTAATGCTAAATCTAACATGGCTAACATAGCATTATCTTTGTCTAAACTGTTGTTTGCATATTAGATATCTTTAAGGTAAACATGTGGATTTTTTTTATTTCTCTGCACATCTTGAATAGGTTTCTAAGTCTATTCTATTAATTCTTGCTCCTAAGACATTTCCTGACCATTACCTGCTCCCCACAGACATTCTAAATTCATTATGTATACATTGTCATAATTTCCAAAATTCATTGTACTTAAATTAGATTGGGAAACCAATTTCATTAAATTAAACATGTTATTCAGATTAATTGCAATTGATACATCTGAATCATCAAAGATACTTTGAATCCTTTTTTTTAATTTTTGCATTAATTGATTTCTCAATTACGCTTTTTGCTGTAGGAGTGTTATAAGGTTGTTGTTGATCTGCATCATTAAATTTGACATTATCTGTACCGGATTCCTGTGCCTAAGTCTGAGAGACCGTCACAGCTAAGTCAAAAACTCTTCCACAATCTCAATTGCATGGCTCGAGTTTTAAAATAACATTTTTTGCTTACCGTTTGAGGATGCTTCACTGTCTGCGTTCTGATTTAGTGTCTGCCTCTCCCTACTGCCTAAAATCATCCAATTCAATATGGTGACCAGAAGGCACAACTGAGCTTAAATTGATCTATCACCCTTTTCTGTCTGGGGAAACAATGCTAGTAAATATACTGCTTTCATTTTCTCGTTGTTTTTAATTTTTAAAAAACGATTTAGTCTTTTCCAAGGCAACTTTTTTTTTTTGGTATTACTGCCAGGGCTTTTGAATCCAAAAGCTGCTGTGGGCGCCTTTCCTCTGAATTGCTCTCATTAGATCACATGTGTCAAACTCCAGGCCCACAGCCCAAATCTGGCCCGCCATATGTAGCCCTCCAAATGCTGGACTACAATTCCTGTGTGATACAATAACATCTGGAAGACTATAGTTGCAATTCCCATTATCCCCAGTTTGCATGGTGGATATAATCAAAAGTGATGGGGGCTGTCTTTCAGTAATATCTGGGGATCCAAAGTGGGTGAAAACTAAAGAGCACTGACACGGGGTTCCTTAAAAAGAGTGATGCACCTGAAAAGGGCCTCTTGACACTAAGGAGATCACTGTATTAAATATGGATAGTTGTATTTCTAATACTGATAAGAATCTGATCTTGAAGTCAAAGATATTTAAAGCAGTTCAAGAATTTTGCAGACAAGCAGTCACCTGTACCATAAACATGATGTAGCATGAGAAACGGAGGGACGTACAGACATAAATAAAACAAGAAAATGCAAACGATTACAGTTTTCTCTCTTGTACACTTCTTATTGGAGTGAAGTTATTAGATCGAAATTCCATGAACAATGAAGGCAGAACACAATCAGGGCTATATGCCAAATCAACCAAATCAAAATCAGATTTAGGTGTGGCATACTCCCACTGCTCCCGGAGGGCTCTAAGTCATTTATGAGACAGAGTTCTGGAAAACATGTACAATTGCATACTCTTTTATGGCATTCTTGCTATGTTGAATAATATATATGTTTAGTAGTTGTGGATCACCATTCCTGGCCTGATGAACATGGCAAGCTTAGAAATGGTAGAAATATATATATATATATATTATATTTGATAAATTGTTCTTTTGAAAAGTAAATGTAAGTGCTTGCCAACTGAGCTACACTAAAAAGTTTCTATACCTTTTACCTTACTATCCATGCACTGAGAGCATTAAACAATAGATCTTGTGATATAGTCCCGATGATGCTTCCTTACCACTCCTCACCAGAGACCATTATTTAAAAGATAAAGATAAACTCTGAATTTTAATTTTTAAAACCCTTATATATGAAGTATGACATTAAAACAAAATGTAAAAAGTACTAAAAAAGCAAAGATACCCACATTTGTCAGTTGCAAAGTTCATCTACATGTTCAGCATTAGCCAGGTGATTTTGTATTTTCCTTCAAATCTGCATCTACGTCATGCATATTAATAATTTTATAGACATACTTTTGTCTATAAAGTTGGTTTTGTGTATTATTTCTTCTTTTTTTCTTGACCACTTTCATATTGTGCATTGCTTTGAATTGCTCATTAATAATGTACAAAATTATTTTAAAGTCACAATTACTTGTACAGCAAAAAGTTTTGATTACTCCTACTGAAATGAACACGGTCTATAACTCTTAATGTTGATTATACAATGGCTTGTACATCTTACCATACTATAAAATTAATAATACTTCCTCTCTGTTGGCAACAGACCATTAACTTAAAGGTAACCTATGCTTTACGTTATTGCATTATTTTCTGTGTACTTGCAATTAATTGAATTTAACTTGTGACTTCAAGTTGTTTCTGTAAACAATCCCCCTGCTCAATCATGGAATCTCACTGGATAACACTGGGCAAGTCACACACTCTCAGAGGAAAACAAAGGTGAAAATCCCTCTAAATGAACTTTGCCAAGAAAATGCTGTGATATTAAGGTTTGCATTAGGGTCAGTATAACTTGGAAACAACTTGAAGGCACACACCAACCACAACAATAACAATATTAGTAAAAGTTTTGAAGGGATAGAATTAAAAGACATTGCCACATTAGTCTGGAATATCAGTACACAAAGTCTCTCAGGTGGTAGAAGATCACTTTGCAATTTTGAGAGGTGGTGATGTGAGCCTATGCACATAAAAATACACAGCTAAAAAAAGAATTCAGGGTGGTCTTATTTCAACAGGTTCTGTCACTCTAACAGAAGATCACTTCTGCAATATACAATTATAATAAAGGCTGGGCACCTTTCATCTGGAATTTCGAAATCCAAAATACTCCTAAATCCGAAATTATCTACACGAGGGTCTGAGATACTGACACCTTTGCTTTCTGATAGTTCAATGTATAGAATGTACACCCAACAAAATCACCAGAAAAACCAACACTTGGATTAAGAACTCCTCAATTAATCTTAACATACCCTAACATCTATGCAAATTGGAACACACAAACACACACGCTTTATGGACTCCCAAAAATCCATAGGGACTCCACTCCACTCAGACCCATCATGAGTGCCATTGGATAATCCACATGGATTTGGCAAATTTTCTGATTGCACAACTACAAACCCATAATGGGCTCACTTAAGGACTCAGTTAGCTTCATACAGAAAATCAGCAATCTCAAACTCATTGCCAACAACAAAGTGATATAATTGTGTGGCATGAAAAAGAAGATAAATGTATCTGGTTTAACTTAATACTTCTTTTATAATTAAGTCCAGACACAGAAATTAGAGCATCGCACCAGTCTTTATTATGAATCATATTTGTCCCAAGGAATATCAGTTCCCACTCATTTATTAAGAATTGATTACTTCTTTATGGTCTCTATTGTTTCTTCATGTAAACAATTCACAGAACTTCCACCAGACATTTCTGGAGGTATCCAATGAGAACATTAAATTCTGCAAGCAGTAAAGCTCCCTATCTGGTTATCTCATTTGTTTCTTATGAGCACTATGTGGAAGACATCTCATATGGGACAAATAATGGTCATAATACATTTGTACCTTAGGCCCCTTCCACACTGCCATAGAAAATCCAGATTATCTGATTTGAATTGGATTATATGGTAGTGTAGAATCATATAATCCAGTTCAAAGCAGAAAATATGGACTATTTGCTTTGATAAATTGGATTATATGGCAGTGTAGAAAGAGACAGTGAAGCTCTCTTTTTTCTGCCTAGCCACGCTTTCCTTTTTGTTATATGTCTTCCTGAAATGTTTTAGCACTATTGGCACTGGTTGGTGTTCAAGTCTGCATTGTGGGCACAATGTTACACTGATATAAAGAAATATTATTTTAATAACACCATTCTGAGATAGTGAAATCAGAATACAAGTTGATGCTAATTCTGGACACAAGACTTCCTTTTATCTATGTTGTACTTCTTTTGTGTCAGGAGCGACTTGAATAACTGAAAGTCGCTTCTGGTGTGAGAGAATTGGCTGTCTGCAAGAATGGTGCCCAGGAGATGCCCAGGTGTTTTACCATCCTGTGGGAGGCTTCTCTCATGTCCCTGCATGAGAAGCTGGAGCTGAATACCATTTTGCAATAATGCTTAGGATTAATTTTACAAACATCAAAGCAATTTATGTCTTTTACACCTGAGATTTATCCCAAAGAAGTAGGAAGGAAGATCTATGAAGCTTTCTCCACTTGGCAGCCCCTCAAAGCCACCCCAAGGTTTGTGGTAACCTACTGAATGAGATAGATTCGGAGGCTGGGGTTAAAAAGTAGGGAATTTGATTCACCAATTAACCAATCTTTTCTTATTAGTGTATTACAGTTACATTTCTAAACACATAAGATATCAAAATGCTCACCAATTTTTACTCTTCCTCTTTCTGGACCTTCTCCCATGACCAGAATATTTGCTGGTTTCTGGAAAACAAAATTTAAAAAAAAACACCTTAACACATGAACATGTGAGGCAATGTTATGTAAATCAAGTCTCTCATTTACATTGGAAGTTTACCATCTTCAAAACATAACCCCTTTTGTTCCTTGAAACATAAGATTTCCTCTTCATCCTAATGCAGTCAGAACAACATCTTAACACTCATTGATTGGCCATTGCGAATCCTATTAAGATCATCCTCAATTTAACAATGAAACATACATCAGCATCAAGTGCCCCTCTGTTTAGAAAACCGCAATCTTTACTGCTTGTTCAAGCCTGATTTTATTTGTCATTGTTAAAACCTGAACTTGATATGCTTCACTTTGTCCACATATATGTGTTCGTTGCTTATTTGTTTCTCATTTGGGAAAATCTCTGATGATCTCCATAGTGGTTGTAGTTCTACCCATTTTTCTACTCAAATCTATTGCTTTCATGGAGAATGCTCCAGCAGACAATTGCTGTGCACAATCTGCTTCTGGAAGTCCTGATTGTGTTAGCATGCACTTACATACCCTATATGAAAGGCACTTGAGAGTGACAGTGTTTAGTATTAGACTAAATTAGCACTCCTTGTTGGTTTATTCTGTCAATTATGCTGAGAGAATTCAGACTAGTTAGACATTCTCTCTTGTACCTGTCCACAACAGATATACTTTTATCTGTTGAAATTCTAGCAGGGACAACTTTTCATCTGCAATATCTCCCCACAGGCAGTATTTGGGGCCAGTTTTCTGTTTTAAAAAAGTATTGAGAGAGTTGAAAAGACATGAAGCCACCGTGTTACTAGGTTTTTTTCCACCTGGGCTTTTGGGTTGCAAAATATGTGAGAAACAGTGGGCTTACAGGGGTTCGAGGGAACTGCATTCTGCCCAAAGGTTACACTTTCCTCGCCTCTGATATACAGCTCTGCAATATTCTGGTATATTTACCTAAACTTACAGATTTCCTACTAAAGTTTTTATGACCACCACGTACAATATCAGTACAATATATCGCTCCTACCTTCTGCTGGGGAAAGTGGAAGGCAAAAGGAAGAGGGGCCGACCAAGGGCAAGATGGATGGATGGCATCCTTGAAGTGACTGGACTGACCTTGAGGGAGCTGGGGGTGGTAACGGCCGACAGGGAGCTCTGGCATGGGCTGGTCCATGAGGTCACGAAGAGTCGGAGACGACTGAATGAATGAACAACAACAACAACCTTCTGCTTCTTCCAGACACACACAGTGTGAAACTTTTGCTTTGATAGCAATGAAAAGGCTAAGCAAAATAGGGATAAACTGCCTAGGCAATTTGCAGGGTTCCACTAACAGGAAAAACAAATCATTTTACAAATCAAGGCAAGTGGGAGATTTAGTATTCTTCTTGAAGGAATATACTTTTCCTACAGTAGGTACTTTGGAAAGAGAATAGAGGAAAAACCTGAAGATAGAATCATCACTGGAATTTGTAGCAGTATCAAAATATAGTATACACATACAATTTTTCAACATATCAGCAATGCTTTAAAGAAGAATCTGAAAAAAAAATTGATTGTTGAATGCTTCTGTATGCCCTATTACAAAATGCAGCTAGAAAATATTTTATTTACGTATTTTAAACATTTTAATACTGCCCTTGGAATTTCAATTGCATTATAGCTTTAAAATACAACAAAACTACAATGCTTGGTCGTAAATCGAATCACAAATAACAACTTAAGTACATAAACTGAATGTGAATTCAACAAGTCTGCTTTAGTTGAACTAGCCATTGGATTCACTCTTTAATTCTTTAAAGTATGCATAAGCAAATAAAATAAAATAACAGCACTGTTTTTCCTGTTTCTTTAACTCTGGTATGCTGATATGTTTTAGTGTCAGATCTCAGACTTGACCCCAAATTTCCATTTTTTATGTACTGTCTACAGGTGACAGAGGAAATATCGAATTCTCCAGTTTTGATGGGTTCTGTTTCAGGCCAGAGGAAAGGGATGTGTGCAAATCTGAAGCTTGGCTAATAGAGAAGCAGCTTGCAACAATTTGCAATGATTGTTTACTTTGTTGATGTGAACTTCAAAAACTGGAGAGGTGTGTGTCCTGTGGCCTTACTTAACTTCCTCCTTCCCTCCAAGATGTTACCCTTCTCTCTACTCTGCATTAAGTTAAATGAAATATTCATTTTCTCCTTTGTCTAAGCAAGGAATGATCACATCATTCTTTATTTGGGAGCATCCCCTTAGCACAAATTTATATATAATAATAATAATAATAATAATAATAATAATAATAATAATAATAATCCAGCATATAGATCTTGTTTGCTGTGGTTTTGTCAGAATAATAATAATAATAATAATAATAATAATAATAATAATCTTTATTTATATCCCGCCACCATCTCCCAAAAGGGACTCGGGGTGGCTTACAAAGCACTCCAGGGTGCACATATATCATACAACAGGTAAAACGGTACGAAAGTATAAAACAAGTCACATAAAATTATAACAACTACTCCCGTCAACACATATAGCATAAAATCAAAATAATACAGTTTTAAAACAACAGTAGATAGATAAAACTAATTGCCATCAATTCACAAGGTGCCATCATGGGTTCTTGGGTTCCAATCAGGAAAATATGCTGTATGAGTATTTCAATGACAAGCAGGGAGCAACTGTAGTCGATACTTAATGCATAACATTTAATGATATCACTAGGAGACATCCCTAGGCTTCAGGTTGTCACATAGCCTGTGAAAATCCTAAACTGGTAGCACTCTGTGTATTACATTCAATATGCTTTACTTGTATTATTTACCAAAGAAAGCTGTTTCTAAGTTGTACTAATTACTTGCAGAATTAGATCTATTGTGGTTTTATCCTACTTATCAAAATAAGATTATTTATAAAATAAGATTTACTCAAACACAATCTCTCAGTAATTCCAATGAAGTAGAAAAGGCTTATGAGAACAATTACATGATTAATACATTAACAGATTGAAATCTTAAAGAAAATATTTACAACTCTATTTACAATCTTATTAACATACAGTGTGATACATAGTTTATGTAATTTAATTTAATCATATATTTGTGTAATTTGCCTATCACAACTATGGCAGCATACATTTCCACTTTGGCTAAATAAGGGACCTTAAAAGAAGCTATGATGAAAATCTCGTCCCCCTTTCATCGTTGAAAACGTATGTCTATATGTACACACCTAAAATGTTGTCTGAAGGGAAAAACTCTACATACTATTATACTTATGCAATTAAAATCAAAATCCATCCAAAACAGGAAAAGTACTTATAACAGTCTGAGTGTTGTACTACAACCCTGGAGAGCAGTGTTTGAAATCCACTGGGTGACCTTCGGCAAAGCATACTCCCTCAGTCTCAGAGGAGCACAAAGGTGACCTCCTCTGAATAAATCTTGCACAAAAAAACCATCATGATAGGGGCACATTAGATCACCATAATTTGAAAAAGACTTACAAGAGCACAACAAAAATATTTGGCAGTGTCACTTTACAATGAAAAAAACCCAGTAAATTCTGCCTCTTTAAGTATTTAAATTGTATGTTAATGCTTTTATGTCAAGTTGCTTTGAGTCTCCTTTGGGGGAGATAAAATGTGGTAACAATAATAATAACAACAACAATAATAATAATGTACACTGTACAGATGCTACTAACTGACCATTACAAGTGTCCACACCAGTTCATTAATGTTTACCTCCAGATTTAATGAGACTGAAGTTTCTTCCATATCAATTTAAGTACTGCAGGCCAAGAGGGCAGTGCAGGACAGGGTGCAAAGTAGCAAAAAAAGGTCCCAGCTGGCACTCTTCTGACTTTTCCATTACATTTGCAAAATAGTTTATGGTTTTCATGTTCACTTTGCTAGCCACAACTGCCCCCCAGGATATGGTATGTACCTAGTGGGACTCACTAAACTCTCACCTTTCACCACTGTACTCAGAGAACAGGATGCTGATAAAAGTTAAAGTACTTAACTCTTATTTAAAAAGGAACCATCCCTTCTATGAGTAGAGTGGCAAAAGGCAGTGGTGCTACTAGGGATAATGTCACCCTATGCACCTCCTCCGGTACCACAATTCCTTCCCTTTTGGACCCTTCAAAGAGAGGAGAGGGCATTGTAGTTGTAAGAGTAGAAGATCAATCCTTTCCCAGTTGCTCAGGGCCACCCATCTCAACTGTTGCTGCTGCCCTTGCCAGCCCTTGGGCTCACCATGACTTTGCTGCTGCCAGGAGACAGAGGTGATGAGTGCACCACTGCTGCCACCAGTCAAGAGAAAAATCTGAAACAGAAGCATGAGTACAGAACCCTGTTAGATGAGAGGTAGGACAACGGAGGTTGTTGCAGCAGTAGTAAGAATGGCTGAGACAGCTTTGGCAAAGGTGAGGAAGGAGGGTAAGATTCTTTATTCATGACTAAACTGCTTCTCTCCTCTCTGAGTGACCCAGAAAGGAAGGTGAAGTGCAGGCATTGTGGTAGGAAAGTTGGTTCTAACACATGGGAGCAGCTGTCGAAATTTAAGACACAAATAAGTGAAGACCTGTCTTTTCCAGCAGGCTTACCCAGACAGTTTTTATGACAGATTTTAAACTTCAATTCAAGGTCTAAATTTTGTTTTGCGTATTTTAATATGTACCGTATGGAAATATGTTTTAATATATGTATTTTACAGAGTGTTTTTAAATGATTGTGTGCTTTGATTGTGTGTTTTAGCAATGTTGTAACCCACCTTGAGAAGTGAAAAGAGATGGGTAAGAAAATAATAATAATAATAATAATAATAATAATAATTATTATTATTATTATTATTGGGGCGACACTCTCATGGAGGTTACAGAATCGGTAGTCATTTTGGTGTGCTTTTCCTGATGGTGTAATCCAGCGCTATTCACACTCTTCTAGCATGAAGTCACTGACCAAATAAAAAAACACATGGTATATCAAGCACACTGCATTG